ACACACGCGTGCGCGTATTAAACACAAATATATACACTTTACACTCTCTCCGTATAACATTATATTTGTATATGTATGCATGTATGTGTACGTACATACGGCGGCGTGTGATGATAATAATTCCCGACCCGAGCCCGATGTATATGTATATACACACACACCGGTCCAAAAACAACATTGTTAAATAACATACGCGGGGGCCGCACACGCACTCGCCCGGACCCGAATAGACAACCCGAAGTTATTATTATTATTATTATTATTATTATACAGTCGCCGCCGCCGCCGCCGTGTGTATTATTGTACAGTGCAGCGGCAACAGCAGCACCCGCGGGCTCTATGCACGGAAAACACACGTAACACAGAGGAGACCGCGCGCGCGGCATATGGATTTTCGGTCTCTTCGCGCGCGGGATGTTTATGTTTTTTAAGCCGTCCGAAAACAGATTGATACATATGGTGTAAACGATTTTAAACACGGATCCGTATATATTCATAAAACGATAATAACAATAATAATAATAATACTACCTATAGTACAAACATATTAATGTACGGCGATATTATTATTATTGTAATGTTCGTGCAATGCGATCGGTGTTGCGAGATGATCAAAAACGCTCGTTTAAAACGTCCGAAAATCGTACTAGCGCTACGACATATATAATAATACATTAGGTATATTACCTGTTTATTGGTAAAGTATAAATGAAAATAAACGGTTCCCTGCTGCTTTTGGATAAAGAAGTTCTTAAATAATTACGATGGAATTATAATTATACGATCAAATAATTTAGAACGTTTTTTTTTTTTTTATATACATCTATCTATAATATGTTTCGATGGCATAGGGACTTGGTTAAAACGGTTTAAAGAACTATTTAAACAGTATTCAAATTTACAAGATAATTCAAATAGATTGTTACTTATACATTTGGAAAGTTCAATAGATACCTACTTATATGAGATATGAGTAAATACTTAAACAGAATATCTATTTCCAAATATTGAAATTTTTTCTGTATGTTATATTTTATTTTTAAAGCATTTTTTATCATTGTTTTACACTGGTATTCTTTTGAATATTATGCTATACACAGGTAAAACTAAACTTTTAAATTTTTGGTGCCAAATATATGATCAACTCCATAATTGGCTTAAAAGTTCTAAAAAACTTATCCAACAATAATCACGTGAGTTTGTTGAAAAATATTGGAAAATTAAAAGCTCTATACATAAAAGAAAATGCGGCGCTGGGAAGTTGGCACATCACATTACGATTAAATGAAATAAAATTGCGGTAATAATACTCTTTCATGTTCCAAAAACTTTTGAAAACAGTCCAATAAATTATTTTTGACCGTTTTCAAAAGAAGTGTACAATCCAACATTTTTATTTTATATTTTAAATCCCTTTTTTCCTCCAGCACCACAGTCAATCGTACCTATCATACGTATATGAATGGGAAAAAAATTAATTTTAACTTAACCTAAAATATGAAACAAACATTTTGGACTGTAGGTACATTTCTATTAAAAATGATCAAAACTAATTTGTTGGAACGATTTCAAAAGTTATTAGAACGTAAAAGTATATATTATTCAATTTAATCGCAATATGGTGCCAACTTCTCAGCACTACAATTTATTTTGTGTGCAGAGCTTTGAATTTTGTTCCGACATTTTCCAACAAACCTCTGTGAACATTGTTGGATGGGTTTTTTAAACTTTTAAGCCAAATGTCGTGTACTTGGCACCAAACATTTAAAAGTTGAATTAATTTTTTTATTTTGTTCCAACGAATTCTAACAACTAGATATATTGTAATAAGTTTATTTTGCAATATTCAAAATATACAAACTTTCCAACAAAATTCAAGAGTCGGAGTAGAAATTTGGAATGTTTTTTTTAAGTTTTTGTGAACTTTGTGGTGCCTAGCAATGTGTACGCACTATACGCCTAATGCCTATACCCGCGTATACTATCTAGGCCTGATCAACTAACAACATAGCAAAACTACTTTACTTAGAGCAAAAGAGTTACAGTTATTTAAAAAAAAAAAAACCAATATAGTTAAACATTTTTTGTATGACAATTTGTTCAGAAAAACATACATGTACACTGTACAGCCGTCGAACATTTTCTCATTTTTTTAGATGTTTGCGATTTGTGTTTAAATTCCAATTTTAAACTGAATACGGCGGTAAATAATAAGGGGAAATGTATACAGGTATAACCCAATCTAGTTCGTACCTGTATAATATTATTATTACGCTTAACGTTTTCCGGGCCGCGGCCGATGTAAAAAGGATTTCTTTTTTTCATCAATATCATTGTTGTTATTGCACTGTCATCGTTGTCGTCGTTTTCCCGCCACACTGCAGTGTCAACAACACGTGTAATAACAAACCGGCCGCGGGTACACGCGCGTGGCTTATCTGTATTGTTAAATATACCTATACTAGTAAACATTATGACCAAATATTATTATTGTTATTATACCCATCTAAGCATACTTATTGTACGTTATAACAATAATATGTTGTTATAGTAACGCGAGGAGACGTCCGTGGTTCGAGCAACCACGCGGTACTCGACTTGACGACGCACCAACACGTTTGTAAAATAACGCGCAGTAGAATTGCGTACCATTATAGCGTGTTGCGAATCGAAAAACCATGTTTTGAGATCAATTTTTTTTTTTTTTTTTAATTGGACCTGTTGTTGTACTGAATTCACACTCGAATCGTTATTAAAAATACTCTTCTTCCGTAATTAGTGGCGACAAGTGCAATCATTTCGAAGGTGAGAAAATTGTAAAACCAATACATCCTCGCTTCGCTCAGAATCTAAAATATTAGGCTATATAAAATAACCGTATTTTAACAAGCTACAAAAAAAAGTCATCAATGAGCGTATTTTCTTAATTTTTTCCACAGGTGTAAAAATCCTTAGATCTGGCTCTGCCCTTAGCATACTCCTTATGAAATTTACGATACCTCCCCCCCCAAGAATAAAGGTCTGAAATAAAAACCGTAGATCTGAACCTCATTATCTCTGCTATGGATTTAATGATCTGTGGATGAAAATCCCCATTCTCAGACATAGGATATATCCGTCACTGTAAAGTGTAACTACCTCGAGATAAACAACTTTTCGAGATCCGCATTGTTTTTAGCTCAGACCGACAATAATGATATTGTTTGATATTGAAAATTAAAAATAATAACAATAATAATAACTTATCACTTTAGATTCTCAGTGGAGCGAAGATGCCCATGGTTTTACAAAGATGTTTATTTTTTTTTTTATCTGTGCGCAACTTTTTTACCAGAAGATTTGCTCAGATTTCTACGTGTAGTACCTTTTCTGAAAGGAAATCGGCGTGGAGTGGTACTTTAGGGACGTTATTTTTCGATTTTTTTCAGTTTTCTCATCAAAATATAGGTGTTATTACGGCTTTCTTTTTTTTCTGTGCACAACTTTTCCAACAGCATTTTGACTCCGATTTATAAAGATGGTAATTTTTCTGAAAAGAAATGTGACCGGGAAGGTACTTTAGGTAAGTCCCGGAATAACCGGGAAAAAACATGGGAAAACCGAGAAAAACGTAGAAAACTGGGAAATTCAATACAATATATTAAACAAGCTTTAATAAAGAAAATATATAAACCCCGTTTAATTATTTTACTCTGAAAAGACATGTATATTGTTGACAAAGTATCACTATCAACTGAACTGTGCTTAGAATTGCTTTTTCGTAAGGAATAGTTTCTTATAGGTATAAATTAAATTATCTATAACAATGGCTGCACCCGTCCCCATTACCCTAGGACGTCTTTTTAACATTTCTTCTGTTTCTACGTGCAGCATACTCCAAAATGTATACAATAAATATAATAAAAAAACGGTATAGTAAGTAAATATAGCTATAGATTGACTTGTGGGAGAGGGGCGTTCAGCAACAGTAACTCTTATTTCATTTGATGGGTTCATGTAGGGAAACATTTGATTTCATATTTTCGTTAAGACATTTTTATTTTATTTTTTACGTTTAGGTACTCAGAAAAATTTACATACCAACAAAATAATGTTATATATTGCGACATAAGAATATAATTATAATGCATTTTATATTATACTGAAATACATATGCGTAATGTAATAATAAAATGGCAATGTTCATTTTTGTAAAGAGATAGGTATATATGTGTATAATGTAATAAAAAAAAAATCTTAAACGATTATTCACAATACATTTTATTGTTTCTCGTTGGTAAATAGCGCTGTGCAACTTGTTTGAAAGACAATATTTTAAAATACAATATTAAATATACATGCCGTTTAAACGAATACGTCAAATTATTGTTGTTTCGTTACAATATGTTGTAAACGTTGAAAAGATATTTTTTTCTTACATGTGAAATTACGGTATTGGTGTACAGCAGTGGGTATTAGCAGATTTTTTTTAGTGCACATCTATGTATTTGAGTTTGATACATTCAGGATATTGACGGAAATCACATATTTCTACGCTAAAATTTAGTTTAACTAAAAAATCAAAAAAAAAAAAAAACATTTTTAAAATAGATTGTTATTTTAAAACCAAAAATGGCTAGTGGTTTAATCGCTAAAAATAAGAATCATATGTAATAACGATTATACAACATTTTAGAGCTATTTGTTTTAAAATTTGTTATTTTTTTAAGTCAATTTAGTTTATACAACACATGGACACATCCTGATACTCGCATAATTTTCATTGTTTGACTCAGTGGTGTGTCAATATTTTTAATACGAGTGCATCATGCCTACATTGGGGCACAGTATTTCGCCACAATATAAGCCATTACCATACCAGAGATCCGTGAAACGTTTTCTCTACATCCCAAACTTGTTTTGACTGAATTGTATGCATAGATATAATTTGCGACAATTCGAATTTATAGTGAAACAAAAATCATACACTTTGAGCATAGCAGATTAGTTTAAAAATACAATATAATATAATATCAAATATATATTTGCTGTATTTATTCAAATTGTAGACTCCTTCATCTTCTATCCCCATGTGTTGATTTAATCTTGTTAATGCCAAAAACCAAGAAAAGCTGCAGCAAACAGTGATAGTAGTCTTAAGACTCAAATAAACTAATAAGACGAATAATCATGAATATATATTGTATAAATATAAAATACAAATCCAGTGTTTTTACTTTTTCTTAAAATAATGCTCTACTAGCTGCTAGGTGTTAATTTAATATAATATAAATCCTGAAAAAGTAATTATTTGATTACTATTCGCAACCATGTGGGATCCCTTCTCGATTTGTACTTCTCCGATGTTTGTTATACGTTGGTTGAGCAAGCTCTTGACAGTCATGGCCCTTGCGGTAGCTATCATTCGGGAAGCCGTAAAAAATCCCGGAATGTATTTGCTCGGATTGCATAATTTCGGAATAAAATTGTATTTTTACGGAATGCAGAACTGCGGAAAAAGAAAATTTGTGAACCGTGTAGTCACGGACCGCAAAAACCTGGAATCGAAAAATACGCAAAACGTATTTATACAGAATGTTTGTTTCCGGATTGTAAACACTCAGACCATATTTTACCGGAAACCTTATAAACCCGGATTGTATGTTTTCGGGGAAAAAAAGTATAGTCATGGACCGTATAATTGCGGAAAACCGATTTTTCCAATCCGTAATCAAGAATCGGATTTCATGGAAAAAATATAAGTATTAACGCGTACCGTTGTTAGTCCCAGTCGCTTATTACCTATACAGACTGTCTGTATTATTTAATAATAGAATCTATAAAACACTCATTAACTCGGAAAATATTGACTTGATTAAGATTTTTTTTTTCTTTGACAACTCAAGAAATTAGTAGCTCTAATGAGTTGAATTGCCATTCTTTTAGTCGCCCTTATTTAATATTTACGCAGTCGAAAAAAATACTTTTGATTTTCAAACGATCTTGTAATTGTTGGTTTGGTTTTACGCACCCGGTTGAGTATGTCCGAGAATGCAAAAATGGTTCAAACGTTTTCCAAGATTCCCGAGGTAATACGGTTCGTGATTAATAATTTATTTTCCGACAATATACAGTCCAAGCATTAACAATCCGAGAACAAATAATACGTACAAATACGTTTTGCACATTTTTCAATTCCGGTGTTTCACGGTCCGTGAATATAGTTCACAAATTTTTTTGTTTGTGGAAAAATACAATCCGAGTATATACATTCCGGAAACATGTAATCCGCATAAATACAGTTTTAAAAAAAAATGTTGGAAACCAATATTCCGTACAAATACATTCCGTGCTTTTACATGCGTCCTATCATTCTTCATTCTCATGGAAATACCAAGTTCTTATTCTCTATATTATGCTCGATGATAAACATTCCTTTCGTGATTTTAAGAATGTATATTAAAATTCAGTAGCTTTGTCATCGTCTGTTAATGACTAAATCTCCACCATCAACTATCTACCTAACTATATTTCATCAACTAGCCAGCTGCCTCAATTTTGCAAGATTCAAATTTATTAATTATTAATAACCATTATTAACTCCATTGATCGCTTTGTATTCCTCGAGATCTTCCATAGATCTTACCTTTCCTACTTGGATATCATATTAACTTAAATTTATTTTAATAAAAAAATAGCCCATAAAAAAATAAATCAACGGGTTTTACTCAATAATGTGTTTTCTCTTGTTTGCGTGCATAATGTAAAGCTGAATCTAAATTATTGTTAAGAATTTATATCAAATATTCCCAAACTCGTCTTATTACTTCCAATTCTTGGGGGATTTCGATCTATCGTTGGTAGTAAACGTACCATGCTTTCCACCCTAAAATGAATTTATTTTAATTACTATACTGTTTTGGGTTGGCAAGTTGCTAATATATTTGCTTTCTTCTTTGCTTCTACTAATAAAGGACCATCATCAGTCTCAAATAATGCCCTTTATGATATATAAATCAAAGAGTCCTCTTTCATACTATTATAACTATGCTTCTCTCCTAATAAGCTGGCTGAAGCTCTTGACACTTTATCTAATATCTGAGTTTTAGGTCCTCATGGTATTTCTACCTTGTCTCTCTTTAAATGTAAGAACGTCTCTATACTTTTCTATCTGCATTATTTTCATCAAGTCCTTAAGTGAAGGTAAATTTCCATCCGTTTAGAAAACTAGTCGAATTATTAGTAATTACTTTACTACTAGTTTTACTAATTATAGTCCAATATCTAATCTTTCCTTGATTGGTAAGCTTTTCGAACAATATTGGTTCTTAAACGAATCAAAATATTTATCTTGCCTACATGATCTATAGACTAAAATGGCTTTCTCCCTGGTCGCTCTATAATAACCAGCTCCTTAGATTTCTTGTTTTATTCTTGATGCTTGTGAAGCAAAGTTCAAGTAGATATAAGCTTCATGAGCTTTTCTAGGGCATTTGACTTGGTGAACGATATTTATCTTATACATATTTTAAATTAGTTAGGTTTTAGAGATCCGTGTTGGATTCACTCGTATTTAGCTGATATTTCACAATTTATCAATTTATTCGGTGTTTCATCTAAAATGTTCAAGGTAACATTTGGAGTTCCTCAAGGTGGGCATTTATCCTTCTTATTATTTAATCTTTGTATTACTACAATTTTTCTCAATTTTCCCCTTGTCGTATTTTCCTATTCACAGACAACGCCTAACTTTTTGCCCGAGCAACTTCAAAAAGTCATCGCGACATCGTTCAAACATTAAGAGTTTTATTATCCTAAATCTCAAAGTTGACAAATGTATTCATGTCCTTTTCTAAATCCACAATACTCATTGATTACAATTATTTTCCTATCAACTCACCCTTAAAATGTGTCTTTAAAATTAAAAAATTAAGATTCATTTTTAGATAAAATTTATATGGAGATTTATATGCTTATCACCTTTTAGATCTCATCAAGAATATATTTCTTATAAGACCTTATAAATTCTTGGGTTTATACGACGTCACACTTCTAATCTCAATTCAGTACCTTGTTTAGGTACATTTTATTTTGCCCTCGTACAAACTATCTTGGAAAGCCAATAGACGTTTATGTATACATAAAAACAAAAAGTAAAAAGTAAACATTGTCTTTGGAAATAAGTACTACAACAATTAAATAATATAATTCGTAATGGTGTATGATAAATTACTCGCTAAGACAATTACCAAACGAACGATAACACCTAATATTATTATCATTTTATTAAATGGAACATTTATGCATATCAACTCGTTTTCATATTTCTTTTTAAAAATGTAATTCATAAGTACATAAAAAATAATAATAAAGTAATAGAAATTCAATATTTTACTTTTTTTTTTATTTAGTTACTATTTAATAGCTAGCTATTATTATCAGACATAATATGTGAAAATATACAAACAAGTGTTGATATTTCTATAAAACTATAGTTAACTAAAACACTAATACTAACTTAATTTTAAAAAAAAAAAAGGACATACCTCGTACGATGTGTAGACTACTATTGCATGTTGTAGGTAAGAAGTTAAAAGGTAGAAGGAAAATTAAAACGTTTATCTGTTCGCAACGATTAAACATTTCTAACGAAAAACTAGCGAAATTCAGTTATAAATGTATTGAAAGGCCGTAATATTTACGATTTGAAAATAATACATTTCCTCCGTTTTTTCCCGTTTATTATGAAAACCTCTAAAAAAATAAAAAAACGACCTTCCTAAAGTAACACACTAGGAGAATTTTCTTTCAGAAAAAATACTATATTTAAAAATTGGAGCGAGGTTTCCGACAGAAAAGATGTTCACAGATAAAAAAATAAATATCATTGTAAAAACCACTCAGAATCTAAAATAAAAAAAATGCAAAAAATTCTAAAATATATATATTGATATTTATTTACACATCATATTTCAACCAAAATAATACTAGTCATATCTGAGGTCTATACATTTATCAAGTAGGTGGCTCAATTCAGTTTTATCCAGAAATGTTCCTGTAAAAGAATTAACAAACAGTTACCTACACATTTATGATTTAGATTTTCTATATTACCAGATAATGGTATTAATATTACTGTAAGACACTGAATATTTAATATTCAGACATCTTAAAAATTACAATAAAATATTGGAACTTCCCATATATATTAATAAACTACATTATAATATATGATGCATACATGTTACATTATAAAGTGGATACAGGAAATTATAGTTATTTTCTGTGTTAGTAGGAAATTAAAATATAAATAGTATTTATTTTCGTATCATTGGGATTAATAATCACACAGTAGAAACCGTTTGTTATGACACTGATTATAGTGACAAATCGGGTTTTATGAACTTAAAGGTCCCGGGAAAACTTTTATTCATATGTACTATTTTGTATCAGTTAATTAATCCTCTTTTTAATGACTATATGAAAAAAGTCTTCATGATTGATATGTCTGGTTAACATTGAAAAATATTTTGCCTTTAATAACTCTATTATACTTGATTATACTTGTTGAAAATTGAAAAAATATAAAAATTTTATCATTGTTTCATAACTTTGCCGTTTGTATATTTGATAATCTACTTGTAATTAAATGTGTTTTTTTGTGTAAATAGCATATCGAATTGAAACAAAATGAGCTAATGAAAACAGTTCCCAAATGAAGAAAAAACGAATGTAATTTGTATGTCTGTCTATCAAACCTTTGCTAGAAACTTCCTAGATTTTTCTAGGACCCCTAAACTTCAAAAATCCACAAATAAATATATCGGTGCTATCTTTGTAGCTGCACCGGCACAATGTTCGATTCCATAAATGTCTATATTTTCTGTCCTGGAAAAACAGTAAAGAAAAGCGTTATCACCAGTACTGAATCTGCTGTAACTTTTTGATTGAGATGTGCCGACGTACATTTTACCAACCCCCCTTCTCCATTCAAAAACTTCAAATTTTTTTTGCACCGATATTTAGCATGTAATTAGCATAAATTTGACCACTCCTGCTATTAAGTTTCCACATCATCGTCAAACCTCCTACACAACTCATGTACTTGACATTTAATATTTCTTCTTCCATTATTAAGATATAATAAGATCCTTGACTAGCTACAAGGAGTCATAAGTTTTCGCAGAGGAAGAAGTTCACTTTGAAATTTAACTGGACATTATCAAAAATTCGTCAAAAGAGGGGCAGCAAATTAAGAATTGTATTATAACCTTTAAAATAAGCCAATCTATATAAAAAGTACAACTTCCGTGGGTTTTAAAATGTTATTGTATACAAATTAATAAGTATGTTTTAACAATAAAATGTTGACCTTAAAATTCTTGCAAATTCATGCTAATTTCAAGCTAAATATTTATGTAAAAAAAAATTTGAAATTTTTGAATGAGAGGGGGGGGGACTGATGAAATCCAAAATAATACTTATACTGGCGAGAAAGTGTGGTACAAATGTCTGGATCAGTCATGCAAATTCATGATAATTTTATGCTAAATATTGGCGTTGGAAAAAGTCCGAAAAGTTGAACTTAAAGCCTCGGGGGTCTGTAAAAACGTTTCTACATGAGGTGTGTAAAAGCGTTGGTGATGATGAGGAAACTTTAAGTAGAGGTGGGCAAATTCACGCTAATTACTTGCTGAATATTGGCGCAAAAAAAAAAAAAATTTGAAATATAGCCGTTCACGTAGTTTTTTTGATATAACGTGCAAATAAAAAGCATGCAAATTGTGGCGATAGGCATGCAAATTCGTGCTAAATATTAGCGTTAAATTTAAAATGTTTTAATTTTTTTTTTTTTTTGGAGAGTTGAAATGTACATAATGTGCCGGTGCAGCCACAAAAATATCACCAACGTGTTTGTTTATTTCCGAAGTTTAGGAGACCTCAAAAAATCCAAAATTAACCTAGCAAATTGTCCATGAAAAATAAAAATACGTTTATGTATAAAACTATGTAATCAAATTTTTAAATTTATATAATATTTTCGTTAAAACGACTATCTATGTAACTAACTATGTAGGTAGAGTTTTTTACAGGACGCTTGCATATCATTACTCATTATAAACGGTTTCTGCTGTAAATATTTCATGCAACATAATTATTTAAAAAAATATTGATCGATGAGAAGTAATTTTGATGAGTTAAAGATTTCAAAATGTTAAGTTCATTTCAAACGGGCATTAAAATATATTAGGTATAAACCACAATAATATGCACATAATAATGTATAATACTGACCGATCAGTATGATTCTGCTTCCCGGCGGTACTTCGCACAGGTTTTCGGTGATTTCTTGAAATTCATACATGTCGTAAACGCTCTGTACCGCGGCCGTTGAACCGTCCGAAAATCTGATGACGCCCTGTGAGTAAAACAAATTGCACGTGTTGTTATTATCGTATGATAATAATTATTGTTATACTCGTGACAAAAGCTAACCCCCCGATACGAATATGTGTGTATATCGCCGAACGCAAAACAAATAAAATGAGATCAATAGAAATTTAATTTGCGATCCGTGTATTATATACGCGAGTGCGCATTCGCATCACGGATAGGGTAAAAATAAAAAAAAAGAAGGTTTCTTGGTAGCGTGAAAAAAAAAAAGGATTAACCGTTGTTGTCTCTCTCGTTTTCACTCCCTTTTTTTCCCCCGTCGCGACCGTATCGTCGTCGTCGTCGTCGTCGATACAGTGTCCGCGTCTATGGCGTTATATTATTTTGCAGAGCTGTGTAGTTATACACCGGTTTGTTTTCGTCGGTATTTGCACAGCACCGCGGCGGGTAGTTTTTTGTTTTTTTTTTTTTTTCATTTAATTCGCGGACCCGCGAATAGTGTTCGAAATTAAATTCTCTATATTATTCGGCGCCCGAAACGCGTCCGGGGACTCGTTGTTTGTGTAGATATATATATGTGTATAAACAAGACCCTCCGCGCGGCGCTTTTTGGCTGTTAATCACAGTTTAATTAAAACATCAAAGGCGACCGGCACCGATTTGTACGGGGAGGGTGCACGAGGGGAGGTGATATTATACACGCGTTATATATTATATTATTGTAATAGTAACGCCTCGCCGCGCTGTACTTACAAGTCCGACCGCTTTGACGCATTATCGACACCGCGATCCGCGCGCCAGACGTTACTCCGGCGCAACGCTATTACACTATACACTACGGCGTCGCGCTTTTTTTTTTTTTTTTTTTTTTTTTTTTTTATACGCGTATCCGATCGATTTTCTACGTCGACGGCTATAACGCTGCGGGCGATTGTGCCCTGCAAACACTTTCGGTATGCTGTGCGCGCGGATTTGGACGCCCGTCTACATATGAGGCCCCCGGCAGTCTAAATCGTCTCGAATTTCGTAAAATACCCGACATTATTTCGACCGATTTTGGTCGTCAGGGTACGCCCTAACGATTTCAATAATTTTAGATTCTGAGCACAGCGAGAAAGATATTGTAAAGGGTTTTAATATCTGTTAACCACTTTTCTACCGGAAACCTTGCACCAATCGAAAAATTACAAGAGCTTTTTTTTGCAGCACTTTTGGATTTAATTGGTGCATATTATCAACGAACATTTTAACAATTTTTGACCTTTTTTGTTTTATGTATCGGCCAATCCTTGAAGATTTAATACGAGGTTCATCATTGACATGAATAGACGTATAGCGAGGGGCTGAAACCGCTCGGGTCCCCTCATTTTAACTCCCGTATAAAATTAATATACACTATACTACTGCAATAAAAGTAAAACAAAGATGTGATTTCACATGTCGCATATTTTAAGACGATTTTTCGTCACTGTGTTATGAAATTCGAGAAAAACGCATTTCCGGCCCCGTCGGGTGTGTAACAATTTTCTTCGCCACCACGTTGAGTGTACGACGTATAAATAAATACTTGTGCCGGGCGTTGTCCCGTGCGACAATCATCGCGAGGCGGAGGCGTGAAAAAGCGTATTTGCATCATCTCGCCGGTAAAATGTTTCGTGGTCAGCTGTATAACTGAATGATCCATTTAAGTTGGTACACTCATTATCTCAGAAAGTATTAACTTTTTTCGGAATTTGTTTTCTACAACATTTAAGAAACAAGCGTCTTTACAATTTTGCATTCATGTTATTTCTTGTCACCCTTATTTTCGAGGGTAAAACAACTACCTACTTTTGGTTTTCAAATGGCGACCTATATTAAAAACTCTATAAATATATGGAATATAAGTTCAAATAAATATAAATGTTGAAATGTTTGATTTGTATAAAACCGTTGACGAGATATTCCACTTTTAAGTTTAGGTTGGAGAAGATTAGTGGTGCATTATTCACACGCCGCGCGCCGTACTGCCACACAAATGATACTCCACTGCTCTCCGGCGGGGCAATTCTAGTTTAACCATAACATACTACAGAAATTTAATACTTGTTAGGGGGTCAACGATTATGTCCATGTGGGCAATCCCCTCCTGGTGGCTATGGGCTTGTTACTTGTTTGTTATATTGTTAAACGTTAATTGCTTTGATCGGCAGTTTTCGTTTTGAATATTCTTTATTTATGTTACAATTCTACAAGTGTGTGAACTGCTATGACAAAATTCTTCCTGACTAATGCGATTTTGTTGTTGGATATTGTTCACTATTTTTACAATTACTTCAGCGTTACTCGTGTCCGCTCTAAGCACACGGTGGAGATTGTTAAGCGTGTTCGATGTAGATTTTGAAATTGGTTTTATTTATTACATACGTATGCAGATTTTTACGATTATTTTTAATTGATTTACATCGAAAAAACAAAATCGAAAATAGAGAAATCGTGAAAGCCGTACATTTTTTCATTCTCCCCGGTTTTTTCTAATTATTATGAGAACTACTTCATTTTAGGAAAATGAAAGACTTCACAATAAACAAACACACCAAACAGAAAAAATTTTGCTATACGTGAACACCTACACTTGTTACGCTCGTGCTATACAGGAAAAATGTCGCACTTGAAAATCGAAGCACGATTTCTGATAGAAAAGTTGTTTACAGATAGAATATGATAAGCTAAAATAAGCTCGGAATCTAAAAATGTATTAGGTACAACGAGAAACCCGGAGAGAACGTTTTTGTTTATGTTGACAATGCCGCGCGGGATATCTTGAAAATCGAACAAACACTTGAAATAGTCCGGGATACGGGATAATATATTAATATATTTAATATATAATATACGAGGGCTACTAATCAAAAAATATTGAAACTGATGATATTATCCAACCGAGTGTTGAATAGCAAAAGGCTTCAATGACTTCTTCTGAGCACATATATTCTTGTAAAATCCCAATAAACTTCTTCATTTTGATTCAACGATATTTTTCTAAAAAAAATTAAGAAACTTACTACCACTTGGGTCGCATCTACAGTTTTTCATTCGATTTGTTTTGACATAAACCATGAAATTTTGTTTTGAAACTAAAAAAAAAAATTGCAGACAAATTCTCTAAAATCTCCAAAACTGTCTAGTCGCTCTTCTTTTGGATACATTACAAAACCGTCAAATTCGAATAACTTATTTTATAAAAGTATCGATGAAACCAAACCGAAAACGTTTATAAAGAATCTATAGAAACAATTACTGTGCTCTAAAAAGTCATAGAAGCAAGTTAAAGTAATACCAAACCTACTGCTCTTCAAATGCTTGCAGGTTTCCGAGTACTTCTACCGAACTCGATTTTTTAAAACATCAGTTAGACATAAAAAAAATAGAGAGAGTAAAATTTTTTATTTTTTAAATCAAATTTTTTTTAAATTTTTGTACAGATTGAAACTTACACAAACATTTACATTTAATACAAAGCATACAGAGCCTTATGGGTAATAAAATTTCAAAGCACATTTCCCGACAATCACAAAATGTGACATCAGTCTCTATTTTTGTATGCAGTAGCAAATGTCAAGTGTGCAGTAGCAAATCTTCAAGTGCGTAGTAAAAATGTTATAATAGTACTTGGATGAATAATTTTTAATATCTAAAATAATTACTTTTATTTGTTTATTTTTCATATTTCACTGAGGGCCACAATATAATTATTTCATTAATGTAGCAATGGCAACACCGCACACTTAGTGTGCCGATTAGAATACCAACAGTGATAACAGATAAATTAATTCACGAATTAATCATAGATAATAGAGATACCGTGCAGTACTTACAAATGGATAACAAATTTCAATATTCGGTTCAAAATAAGTCAGTGACATGTACTGTGACAAATAGACGAAAAAAAAAATGTATTTTTACTGTGGTTACAACCCTTAAAAGATGTTTGTCTAGGCATGCTATAAAAATAAAAAAAATCCTAAAGTGTGAGTAGTAGCCAAATTTACAAAAAAAAAAAAAAAAACAGCGACTGTAGGAACAGTGTCCCGAATTTCGATTATCACATCGGTCCCGCGTGATACGAAGGACGCGTCGAATTTTTGGACGGTCGCCGAGCGTCTCGCCCGCACACTCGCATGCATACGTATACACATAATAATAATAATAATAATAAATATTAAAACTTGCGCGTGTCTGCGCGCGCGCTCGTGTAAAATACACGCCAGTCAGTGTTTAAAATTTAATAAAAACATTTTGACGCCACCGGCGGCAAAAGCGTTTGGCGCGGCCCACAAAAGCATTCCTTTCGCGCGTGCCGGTTACGTGTGTATGTATGTGTGTGTGTGTGTGTGTGTGTGTGTGTGTGTGCGTGTGTGCGTGTGCGTGTGTTCTGTGCCCGACGCCGCCGTCATTGTTTTCCCCCGTCGCCGTCGTCGCCGGGACTTGGCCGCGCGTGAAGTGCGAATTTTACACACTCGAAAACTACCGGCCCCGGCGCGCCGCACCGCCCCGCCCAAACGAGTAATATTATTATTATTATACGCGTATATATTTTATAGTACACACGCATTACGCGCGCGTATTATTCGGCTCCTTCTCGTTTTTTTTTTAAACGCTCACAACAATCATCATAATAACAATAATACATAATGTTTCTGCGAGAGCGCGCGCGCGCGCAAACGAACCGTTGTCGTCGCCGCCGTCGCGGCCTCGCAGAACAGTCAGATTTTTATGGTACCCGCCCGAAAAAATACTGTAAGACTTGAATTCCGATTTTCGAAATTCGATTTCCTATTTAAACTGCAATAAGCGTCTGAATATAAAAAAAAAAAAATAAATATTTATTCGTTAACATTATTATTGTTTTCTGACGCACATTACAGATTTATCAAAACAGAAAAAAAAAACAGATCAATGCGGCCTGTAAAATGCTTTACTCTTTCAAATAATAATAAAAAAAAAAAAAAATTAAAATACGAATATCCGCGACAGTCATATCTTTAAAAAGTTATAAACAGTTTTAAAATTTTACAAAAGAAAACTTGGAAAACGATTCAGAACACGCATCTTTCCCCTTAGATTATTTTTTATAGTGCCGATATCGAGTTTATCAGGTGCGTGCGCCGTATTCTCTTTTTTGCAGTAGACGGTAACCAGTGGTGTTCGAATTACCCAGTGTAATTAATCTAGATAATACCTTCTAATACGTATTATCTTTGTAGTTTTAATTATTTTTAGTGAATACGTAGATACTAAATCAGGATGGTTATTCATAAACTTATTAACTTATGTATCGAGCCTTAATGGCCTTAATATTAGTCAGACGATTAGCAAAAAGAGGTGTATCTAAGAATAAAAAACATATTTTGTGATTAATAATATATGTATATATATAATACGACATAAAACACTATCAATAATAAAACAATAGCTTTACGATAGACGTTCGATGAACACGTATTTGTGAGAGTAAATCAATGTTTTTCATGAGGAAAAAATGTATAAACGTTCTTATTTTTTTTTCCGGATACCTCTATTCGCTGATGAAATGTTTGATTTTCGAGTTATACGAGACATGTACAAGGCGCGACCACTAATTAATAAAAGTCTGTGATATTGTTATATCATATTTTTAACTTAAACTTCGTTTTAATCACCTTAACAAATGAAAAATATGCCTAACATTACGTTTTGTACTATACATTATTTGTCATAAATAAAAAACAAAACACCCGTGAGCAGCAGATTTGCAGTCTTTCTAGTCCTGTGAAAACTATGAACTGCAGATTTCTTAAAACACTACGTTGATGAAGATATTTTCTGAACATATGTAATTTTGAAATATGTTAACGATCTGAACATGTTTGCGAAGCTAACAATAACACTATTCGTTTTCAAAGTTCGATACGATAGGTCAGAATTGATCGATTATTCAAAACAAACACTTTTTTTATTGGTATCAACATATAGGTACTCGTATTCTTACAACTTGACCAAGACATATTTCAATCCTATTTCGACTGTTGAATCCGTTCAAAATTAATACTTAAAATGTTAGTTATTTCTATGGCGTATTAATTAATTATAATGATAATATACAAGTCCAAAATAATGTTCACCAAATAAACTCACTTTGTTTAAAATTGTCTTGTATTGTCTTAATCCGATAGAAATACCAATAAGTATACCAACATTTTATAAAGCACAACGGAGGACTAAAAATTAATTCTCAAAGATTTTTTGAAATGAAAAATGGAAAATGATTGCTGTATAGTTGTGGACTAAAAATAGACACTGGGGCAATGGGGCCGCATACAAAAAACCAACAATAATATCTAATTTAATTTATTTAATAATATTTCCATTATAGGATTTAACGGAATAAAAATGTAAAGTATACTTTATACAGACCGAATCGAATTTACGCCGGCTGCAGTATATACAGTAGAGAATAATATTTGGTTCGTATATATTGCCGAAGACGATGTCGAAAAAATCAGCTTATCAAATTTAATATAATATGCGCTTATGTTATTTCTAGTTAAGACATAAAAAAAAATGAGATAGGGTGAACGAAATAGGAAGGAAAAAAACAACTACCCAGACCGAGTTTCATATAAATATTATGAGAGGACTATGCACATTCTTGGTCAGCTTATATGCGACACCAGTGCGGAGCCTTTGAATTGTCTGTTTATTAGATTTGGTTGGCGTGAAATTACTATCAGGCCTTTCTCGCCGAGTTGCGCATAAAACATTCGGAGAATGCAAATGGAAAGCCGTCTCTGTCGACTTATCGCCCTTTACTCGAGTTTAAATTATACCCATCCCACACCAGCAGTGATGCACAACAGAGCATGTTGCATTATTTTAAAATAAAATCGAGGTTTTTGTCGATCGCGCACAAAAACTCGCAGATGTTGGAGAGGAGACGTTAGGAGCAATCGCCGTCCCTTTGAGAGATATTTTTTTACAAAAATAAATCAATAATAAAAATACAAATATTAATAATAATTTAGTTTTTACAACTTTTAAACCAGAAGTCTAATTTCAGTTATCAACATCAAAGGTAGAAAATTGTATACAGTTGGTGAATTAGTCCTTTTTTTTTATTTTCTTAATAATGAAGTAAAACCGTAAAAACAGTCGAAACACGAAAATATTTAAGGAACAATGGTTTCTGTTAATGTCGATTTTGTTTGTTTTTTTTGTTATAATTTTGTGAAAATTATTTCTGGTGACCTAGAATTTGTTTTTCGAATTTCTATTTAACTTAAGACGTAATATACAATTTCTATATAGTATTCTGGCGATGTTTTAATTATTTATAACAATTTAAAATGTTCGTGTAATTTAAATTTTATGTAGTTACAACTGTTTGACTTTTCAAAAAAGATCGAATATTTGATATAAGTTCCGTTATAAGCTATATCTATTTTGTTATAAAAACAAATGGCCATTCTATTTTTATATATGAGTGTTTACTTCAAATTTATCATCAAATTTATCTTTAAAAATAAATATAATTTATTTTTTAGTTCTATCAAAAAATGTTTAATTGAACTCCGATCAGAATCGTTTGCAATAATTTATCGTTCGCTCAGATACAGTAGGTACCTATAGGTAGATGGAAAACTTAATCTAGCTGATTTGTGACATTTTCATTTTAACAAATACAATACTAGTTATTATATCTATATACTGGTAGAAAGCTATTATTAAAAGAAATTTTGAATGAAGTAAATAAATTATGCCCAGCAGTATTTTTGGAAATTAAATTAAAAATAATTTATCAAATTTTACATAACAAAAGCAGCTAGACATATTTTCGAATGGGTAACAATATTGTATTATAATACAATATAATATAATATATCGATTCTTTTTCTTCTAAATGCAAACTTTACAAACTTATATTTTATTTTAATTATATCGTGACTGTGACAGACGGGTTTTCTCGTATCAAACTGCTCACCCCATATGTGTTTGTTTGCGATTCAACGCCACAGAAAATTGAGAGGGGAAAAATCAAATATGTAATTATTATTTAATGCTTAACTTACTATACTTATTGTTTTTTCATATTTTATTAGTGGACACTCAATATAAGTCTAAACAAAATCGATTTTTTTTAATTTTGTTTTTGAAAATCGCGTCCACGTCACCGGAGCTCGACGAAGTTTGAAGATGATTGATGCAAACGGTCCTCAAAAACAAGTGTAGCAAGTGTAGTCTATGGTGAATTTTTTAATTTTCTTTAATGATTATTATTTGTTAATTTATCGATCTGTTATGTAGACAATAAATCACTGGCACATCAATTTATGTATTTATAATGGTCATTAGATACTAATATATTTTATTCAAGCAGATGACACTATAGTTATTTACATTTACAATTCACTTATTGTAAGCAGTTATATTTAATAATATTAGAATAGAAAACTTAAATTAGAATACAAGCCACAAAAGCGGATTTGCAGGATTGTAAAACTATATAATTATACAATAATTTCGTCGTTATTATTTCATCACTATATTATAATTTATATCTACCTAGCTAGACCTGCCTATTGAATTATACTGCATGCCGGAGTAGTATTATTATAATGTCACGTATACACGTCATAAACATATTGTTGATGTTGATTTATAGCGGCCATGTCGGAGTTATTCGCGATATTATCGCATATATAAATGTCGATCATGTTAGAATTCAGGATGATAATGTCGGCGCAATGTTTAGGGGACGATGAGGGACCGTTTGTGCAAGGTATGCGAGCTTTAACGGCAGCGAGAACTGCTAAGGAAATTCCGTCACGGTTTTCGTATAGGTAACAGCCGAAAATTAAGAGCAGGAAAGGGCTACGTGACAGAAAAGGCTTATGATCCGCTATCCGTAAAACCCTTTATTATTATTATTATTATTATTATTATTATTATTATTACACGGTCGTCGGATCCCGAGTATTCAGACTTGTTCTAACATTACCGTTTTCTCATCACATGCTTACACGATCAACACTAATACACACACAGAAGCAGGTACTATAATAATGAACGAACGATGTTATATTATTTATAACTAAACGGGCGCTTTCTTATATAATATTGTATTTGTATGTTCAATAAACGATAAATGCCCATCAAAATAATCCTAATTTATATCAAATTTAGCTCAAAAATATAGATTATTTTACAGTCTATAATGGCCGGGGGAGCGACGTTGCGATATAAGTTATTCAAGGAAGTAGTGTTAATTTGTATATTCTATGACGCAGCAAAACACTGCATAAAACCGAAAATTTGACCGCTTCAATTTGGTTGCTTTTATAACCGCAATATTTAGGTTTCATGGGGCGTTTTACTGCTAGAAAACAGGCCAAACAGAAAGGCCGAATTTGTTGGTTTCATGCGGCATTATGCTGCGTCATAGAATATACAAATTAACACTACTCAGGGAGGGTTTCCTGGTCCCTGTGAATAAGTTTTTGGTAGCTGGGGGTGAGCACTGGGTATGAGATATTTATCAATAAGAATTAAAACTACTTGGTTGGTTTACAACTCTGATATTACGAGTATATATCATATTTGATTATAGACTTTATTTGTGGAATGACTGTTAACGCGTTGATGACAGCCGACGAACTGTAACCTCCCCCCCCCCCCGTCTGTATATAGTGTATATAATATACTACTAATGTTATGTATATATATATATATATAATGTATCTTTTCTCTCATCCTTCTGCGTGCTTTTAGCGGTTCTCTTAGACCAAATGACCTCAAATTCGGAATTATCAGAATTATTTAAGATTCAGAGCGGGTCGAATGATCTATTAATTTTACTATGATGTGTGAGTGTGTTTCTTTTAGATTCGGAGCATAGCGAGGCATCTATTCTTTTTACTATGGTATGTTTTTTTGTCTGTTTGATAACAATTTTGAAAAAAAAATTTGCTCCAATTTATCAAGTGTAGCATTTTTGCTCCTAGAAAATTTTTTCTAGTTGATGTACTAAAGAGTCATGTTTTTGATTTTCCAAGAGATTTTCCAAATGATTAATAAAACCGGAAAAAAAATGTTAAGTAAAATGGCAAATTTTTACGGCACGGTACAGCATTACCGATTGTATTGTTCTTAATTTGTGCAAACTATGTTTTCTACCAGAAATATAGAAATATAAAAACGATAAGAAACCTTTTTTGTTGTATTTTTAATCTAATTGGCGAGTAAGAAAGTTGTTCTTTGATTTCTCTGTAGTTTTTTTCAATAATTGAGCAAAATCGAAAAAAAACGTAAAAAAAACGGGAAAATGTAAGAAAATAATGTTTTTATTATTTTAAAAATTTAAAATTTCACAATTCTTTTTGAGACGGTATAGTAAAATACCTACGTAAGCTAGATATAATATATTTAGGTAAATAACAAAATTATATTATACTAGCGTAAAATTACTTATATTGTGTTTAGTCTGAGTTAGATTAATTTCTTATTTTTTAAATATTCAAAACACATGAAAATTACAGTTTTAATTGTCTTTTATCCATTTATCAATGAAAATTAATAATGATTTGATATTTTAGTGTAAATTGAATAAATTATGTTTAAGTAGTCTAAGTAACTACTGTAGGTAATAGGCGTATATCTCGAATAATTCATTTCCTATACCTATTATTCAAGAAGTTTTTAATTTTTAAATTAATTTTCGAAGTATTTTTTTGTAATATAATTAATTTGAATGCCACAGTATATAACATTATATTGTAAAAGAAAAAAAAATAGGATTTATTGGTAGATTTGGGTAGAGTTTTACCAATAATATTGCCAAGACAATATGTTTACAAATACACACACACGCACACACAGAAACCATTGAATGACAAGATTTGTTTGCGTGCGAGGGTAAGGAATAGTATTTTGAGATATCTTTAAGTCTATTTACCGATGGTTGTTTACAATTTTGCTGTCAAAGCAATTTTGAAAGGAACGTTTCTGCCCTGCAGAGGGGTTCATCAAAGCTATTATAGGGGAGCAGAATATAATCCCCGAGCTTAAACCCAATAAGATATTGAATAATAACTGAAATGCATAAGGCTTTGGGCCGATAGGAAAATGAATAATGAATTAAATTATTGTCATAATATTTATCGATTCCTAGCTATACATAATATACCGCCATCGTTTTATTTTAGGGTATACTCGTACAAATAATAATATTGTGAAATATCAAAATGAACAATATAATATAGAATTCATTGAAAATACTCGTACATAATAGCAGTATATTATCATAAATTGCAGGAAATCTAAAATGAAAAAATTATACGTTTTATTATGAGCGACGTATGATTGATATTTGATCGAATAATAAAATATTGTTTTTGGGAGGTTACCTAGCTGTTATAGTTGGGAAGTTGGAGATTTATAGAATAAACGCGTAATAAAATAGTTTATAGTTTATTATATCTAAATAAATGATCTAGAAGGGAAACATGGAAGAGAAATGCCAAGAACAATTTACTTAACTCAGATAAAAAAAAGATATAAGAGTCAACTCGTACAGACAACTCAAGGATAGAGCATACACAATGTAAACACAGAGAGATGATATTATTGTGAATCAATCTACGGATTGAATTTAAAACTACAAATATATATATATATGCAATATTGTATATTAAAATATATAATAGCTCCATCAAATTTGCTCTGCATATAAAATTGTATATTTTGTTTTATTTCACAAATTGAATTTCCTTTGGTTTTTATAACATTAATAGTAAATTTTTTATGAAAAAAAATAAAAGAGCTATGTAAATCTCTAGAAAAGACTTGACATTTTATTATAAAAATGTCTGGAGTTGAAACCCCAAAATACACAACCTAGACACCAACACATTTTTATTTTGACCATCTATTGGTTTGATTTTGGGAGACTATATGAAAGCTCAGAGATTAAAATAAGCATCCATTTCCCTAAAACATTCTGAAATTCTGATTGTAATTCATTCTCACTTTCATAACTTCAAATTGCCTAAAAAACAACTATAATTTCCTATTTTGAGCACATTCGATCGAAAAAAGCCACTGCTAAAACTATACAAAAGTAGTAGGAATTATGTATCAGACATAAAAATCAGTATATCACAGTATAGTTTAAAAGTTTGTATTTCCGAGAAAATTTGACAAAAATATTAATATCAAGTAAATATTTACAAAAACCCAAATTTCAATTTATTTCGTCTGAAAATCGTTTAGTGTTTATAGTAAAAAAGAAATATTACTTTAAAATCACCAACGGAATATACCTATCTATAATATTACATGTTAGTCATATGCATAATATAATTAGATAACAGAAACGATATTAAACCATGAATATATGCAATATGCACAATGAACAATACTCGAAGTTTTACCAAAGTGTACATTGATATATTAAAAAAAAAAAAAAAAAAAAACAATTAAATATTCGTACTGCCATGAAAAACCCGTACATTGTTTCTCTCGTACATATTATTTAGGCTTCAATGTATTAAAAGTAAAACGGCCGTCATTCCTGGTCTAGTATTATACTACGTCTACGATTTTAATAATCCATTACGAATGATCGGTCTCATTGAATATACTATCCATACACATAGAAACAAGAACCGAATAATTCGCAAACCATATATTACACGTTTATCGTCGTGCAATCGCAACGTAGAGTATATTATTATACATATTATGCAGACTGCCAAAAAAAGATCCAAACACACGATTTGTCGGCAGCACCCTGAGTATTACCTGTGATGTATAACAGTGATTATATACGTGCATCTATGTGTATTATATTTATCAGGGCACGTTTATTTACGGGGATAAAGTCATAATACAAGAGTACGAGAGACCGGAGTGATTGTGTGTGTACTGTGTGTGTATAAAGGTACACACGGGACTATATTATATTATACCTGATCCACGGCCAATTGATTACATCTGGATCGAGGATTAGCTCAGCGTATAGAATTAAATAGGGATTTATATCAACGAGCGAAAAAAAAATAATATTATACAGGCGCACGCACAACAATAGTCGTGCTGTCTACAACAATTAAATACGAACAAATCGGCGGGCATACATATATAATATAATATAATAATATAAATGTGTGCGTAAACGTTTGTGTCCGCGGAGAAAGGGGATAATGGCTGAAGAGTAAAAAAAAAAAAAAAAAAAAAAAAATACGTAACACGTTTCAATAATAATTATTGTTGCTTTGAAATCTTTTGTGTACCCATATTATATAGGTACGAGAAATGCCAGTTATGAAGCGTTTTATCAGTTTCTATATACACAAATACACGGCGCCCAATAAGGATGTATGGTAAATAATATTATAACAGGTAATACGCTCGTGATATATTTTATAACACAACATTATACTATAAGAAACAGCTGACGTGTAGGACTTAACCGACAAATTTTGAACGGTGCAAAGCCCGCATTTCATAAATAATCGCTATATATTGCATCCCGCTTTTATTTTTATTATTATTATTATTTTTTTTTTTTAGCTCCATTCAGCATTTACGTTAACACGTTTTAACTCTCGTATCGATTAAGGTCGATCGAGATCACACTATCAAAAATGTAAAGGGCTGGATAAATGACTGCATCCGAATTCGGTCCCGGATCCAAGTGGTTTTGATAGGTAATACACTAGTTGGGTCCCAATGGATTTTGGGTATTATGCTAGTTGGGTCTTGGCTTTCAGCAGGTTATATACTAGTTGGAGGTCCGAATGTTTATAGGCAACACAAACAATTTTCCTTCTCATTTTTACAGATTAAGGATTGTCGGTGATTTGTAGTTTAAAATAAAACACAGATATGATGGAAAATGTTTTGTTTTGTCAGATGAATTAATATTGAATGTAGCATCCGTTCGTTCAATGAATACTAAACTAATTTAATATAATATAAAAACACAATTTTAAAGTAGTATTTAATTTCATTCAATACTAAGTACCTACATTTAGGTACTTACGAAAAAATATATAGGAGAGCGTTTTAACAAGGTCAAAATGATTTGCCAATGTTTTTTTTGTCATTTTTTTCTTTTATAAATTGTTCTTTTTGTAAAATACGTTCCCGTCGTTTTTTTCCGTCTATTCTCATTTTGAAGGAAGTGTTTACTTGAGTACTTTTTGGAATTTCAATAAATTGGTATATATTAGGATGTGCTATATAAAATATTAAATTAAAATGGAAATGGAATGATTCACATGCGTCAGTCGTTCGTATTTTTTTGCATTTTAAACTCCCAACAAATATCCAGTGAGAATTTTGATTCTCAATCAATATAATTTTCAAAAATATAGTCCACAGATTGAACAAATATAATAGGTTTTGCTATACCGGGTCTGGGTTATTTTATCATTTAACAGAATATTATATTTTATATTTTAAAACTTATTAGTTATTAGGTTAATATGGCACTATTAACCCGGGACCCAGCTTGAGTAGATTTTTGAACATGGGACCTTAATGCGCCGGGGTGTATTATAACATTTTCGAACAAATAAAAACTGATCCATAAAAAAATATTCAAATTCACTTTTATATAAGTTTAAAAATTATCCCGAATCCTCGAGTATTACAAATATTGTGTAATTACTTAATGATTACGGATTAGAAAATATAACTGGAAAAAAATATTTTAAAGTACTTACTTCAGAATATACGAAGGCTGTATCCGAGTTTCGTCCCAGTTGTGAAATTTGAATTTAAAGATTTACTAGTTCCGTCCCGGGGTTTTAAAATAGATATACTCATTCCGTCCTGTATAATTTATTAGAGTCACACCAGTTCAGTTCCATTTTGCATTTTCTACACTATTTTAATATAGTAAACAATTTATGACTACGGTATCGATTTCATATAATTTAGAATTAAAGACATTATTGCTTTCAGTTATCGCACTAAATAATCTAATTTGTATAGATTAACACTTTAATATTATTTGAATTTTCTCTGTATTTTAACATTGATAAGAAAAATGTTTATCTACCATTTTTTTTTTTTTTATATCATATAAATTTAATCCGATAGCAAATTTTTATTTATAAAATTATAAACTACGTTTGAATTTGTCGTATTTAACATTTATGTATTTTAACATTGATAAGAACATTTTTAATCTGGACGGAATTGGTACATACCTTTTTTTTTTTGTGACGGAACTCGGATTCAGCCTATACGAATACAATGTTTTATTTCCTAGGTAACATATGAAAGACTTAATTTCGTATTAACCTACTATATCAAAACGAACGTCTGATAGCAGGTCAGCTTTTGAAACATACTTAAACATTTAATGCCGTCTAAATTAAAAAATAATACTAACGGTTTTCAAAGATTCTTAGCGGAGCAAGGAATGTATTGATTTTACTATGATGGTTTTTTAATTTTTTTTCTCCGTCTGTAAACAACTTTTCTACTAGAAATCTTAATCCGATCAAAAAATGAAAAGAAAGCTTTTTTGTAACATTTTGAATCTAGTTGGTGTAGGTATTTTTTTGATTCTCCAAGCAGTTTTTACAATAATTGGGTAAAATTGAAAAACACGTATATGAATAACGTTCAAATTTACGGCAATAAAAGTTTCATAATTTTCGATTTTGTTTTTTTACTAGAAATCTCGCTCCGTAATTCAGGGATAGTATTTTGTCTGAACTTTATTTTAATACTCTGGATCTTTTTCTTTTAGACTCACTAGAGTAACAAAAAAAAAAAAAATGTTTTCATATTAAATATCTAATTTGAATATTGGATACGAATCACATTTAGAGGTAAAAGTAATACCTAATAAGCTCCAAGTTACTGACTCTTGACGTCATCTTTTTATTATATTATAAGTATAGTAGATATAGATATTATTGATTAACGCTTACCTTCATTCTGACTATTTCCGAAAGATTTCCTTTGCTATCTTTTAACAAGTTTTCCCATAAAATTTTGCACACAAAAGTGTCCAGAGATTTTCTTAAAATGCCATCCGGAATTTCCAGCGTAACAGTGCTAATGTTCTGAAAATGATACGACGTAAATATCAAGTAATAAAATACTTTTTTTGGTATTTTGAATACTTAAGAAATAATCTTCTTAACTAAAGTCAAGACAATATTTAATAAGCTCATTTATTCATGCCTATAATTAAATAATACGATAATTTTAAAGGTTTATTTGTAATTTGCTGAACGTGTAAATCGTTTAAAACACCGTTCAAATATATTGGAAAAAAATTATTCGTTAATGGTGTGTTATGAAAATTGTTAACGTTATAAATTGGCATTTATATTTAAATATTTAGAAAGTAACGTTTAATAAGACCGGTAAATATTGTATACAAAATATTGCGTCAGGTACAAAAACTATTATAATAATTCGTCACTCCGTTCAGAATCTAAAACTATAGTACGAATCGTATTTTAGCGCCTAGCCGTAAATGCATATAATAATTACGATTACCTGATGTATATGCGATTTCCCGTCGGAACTCTCCGCGTTTCTGATCATTTCGTCTATCCTGCAACAAACCGTAATAACATTATTGCGCGAACAATTCATTTGTTGGCGAAGGAGCGTTGCGCGCGATTTCCGATAAAATGAAATTACAATATCTAACCGCGCGGTATACCGCACGCGCGATATTGTGCATTATTACGACGGTCGAAATACGCGGTTTACCATAAAAAACGAATAAATCAATCGGCGAATTATACAATATTGTCGGTAATGTTGTCGGATAACAACAATACAGCGTAACGCGACGGACGAGGGGGTGTACCGGGGAGGCGGTACGCAACGTTTGCACGGGCACAAAAACCCCGTCGAAAAGTCAAGACCCCCTTCGACCGTAATACCGGACCACCGCGACTATTATTAGAGGGATCAGCGATAAGCCTCGCGCTAATGGGGGCGGCGTTTTTATTATACAGTACCTAAACGATTATTGCGGCCGCATCGTCGTAATATTTCGGGCCGTCTTTATACCGTGTTGCCGGGCCGGGCGGAGATACCCGAAAAAAAAAAAAAAAAGAAAAAAAACAATAATATTCAATAATATAATTTATTTTCCCTAATAATACGCGCGCGTTTCGGAAGTCGTAACGTTGTTGGATTTCCGATCTATAATGCGTGCACCGTAAATGTTCTCTAATGAAAAGGGATAAGCGGATTTACGGCACTTATGGCACGTTTTCGGCGCGGGCCGCTTTCTCGTATACGATAATAATAATAATAATATGATATTTGCAGTTTAATAATTTCGCGCGATACAATAATATATTATTATACCCCACGGACAGAAGGAAGGGTCATCGTCTGTACACGTCACATCATATACCGTTTCGTAAACCGGCGCGTATAAATCATTATAATTTTATATACGTATATTGCTATAATTCCATGGCTCATTCTCTCGGCGTTTTGATTGCGTGCGACGGCCGCAAAAGACCAGAAAGAGTCTTAAAATGTCATTCGCTATAACGCGCGGCTATTTACGATTTTTATCCATTTTCGTTATTGCCAACTGTTATGTTTGCCGCGTTAAAAATCAAAATAAACGTTACAGACGTTGTACTAAATCTTGTCACAATAATAACAACATAACGCGTAAATTAATCGATATATACCATGGTAGTCGTGTTTAGTTATTACGGTTGTATTGGGTGTTGCCGCTGGGTAACCTCCCTAATCGTAGAAGTCGTTTTTCGATGTTTTCAATAGTTTTCCCAGCAAACGTGAAAAACCAAGAAAATCATGGGAAAATCGGAAAAAACACATGGAAAACGAGAAAATCGGTACATTAAACGAATATTTTAAAAGATAATATATAATGCCTATTTAATTATTTTACAATAATATAACATATATATATTGTTGACAAAGTATCAGTATCAACTGAACTCCGTTCAGAATCGTTTTTTTCGTAAGCAATGGTAAATCGTTATTAACAGATATACATTAAGTTTATCCTTTACCTTCTCAACTTCTCGCCTACAACAGTGACCAACCCATTGTGTGAAATATGTCGGTCTGTAACTCTGCAGATTATGTAGGAAAAAAAAAGTGACATAATTGACGAGAGCTTGATTAATACTATATGAATCTAACGACCGAGTACCATATTGCCTCGTCATACACGAAAATTAAAATTTTAGATTCCCAGCGAAGCGTTATGGATATGTGTTAATATATATATACATTTACTATAATATATGCTTGTTTTTCAAGTTTTCAGGTTTTCGACCTACTCCTATCGTCAATTTCACGGGTAGTATAAGATATTAAAATTTGTCTTGTTTGGACGTTGAGGTGACATTTATCTTTAATTTAGTATTTTTTCCTTATATTTATCTCAAAAATGAGAAATAACCGGAAGATAAAATTTCAAAAAAAACGAGTGTTTACGAAAAAACGATTATTATTAAAGTCGTTTTATTTTTTACCTATTGAAATTCAGTAAAAACTATCATAGAGCCTAGCTGAACATTTTCGTAAAATAAATAAATATTTGAATATGCTTCAATAATAGTTGAAGTAAAAATGATGTAGCATTTCATGCACTTTTTTACCAGCCCGAGGCATGAGACTATGAAGCCTTATCACAATATACTTGTATATCGCGATAACTGTTGTATCTGTGTTTTTGTAATATTGTTAACACGGCGACCAATACACACCGTGGTATTTCTAATATAATATTACTCGGATAATAACATAAGTGATCCGGTATAAAATACGCATCGTGACGCTCGATACATAACAAATTACGTATCACGGTACAAGATACAATATTGTATCTTCGATATACATGTACGTATGCATACGCATTCGCGACACCGCCTGTAATGACCGTACCTAATATACACATACGTACGCCGTAATTGTTGACATTAAACGTTTGGGCGCGGGGCCGTATGATAACGGATAAACACGATTGCGGTCGTGTAAAATATCATATTATAGTATTATAAATACCCGGGTGTATAGGATTTAAGGCGATGACGGTATTGTATACGAACTCGCGCACCGGGGAGGGAGAGAGGAGGGGTGGGCACGGGGGCCGGTTGGCGCGGGGCGGCGGTAGACAGATGTGTGCGCACGTGCGGCGGCGCGCGTAAAGGGGTTAATTATTTGTAGGTGGTTTAATAACGCGAAACTCTCGGTCGGCGGGCGGGTGAATTTACGCCCGCCCACTACCCCCGTCCGCCCATATGCGGGTGTGTGCGCTGCGGCGAGAAACTGCGCCGGGGGGACCGCGGGGCGGTGGCGGCGGCAGAAACGCTACGCCGCGCGCGCGCCGCCGTAATAACCGAATCGGAGCCGGCCGCCGCTGCCGTGTTCACTTTTCCGCTCTCTTGAGCCCGTCCGCGTACGCCGCCGTAATCGCAGTCGATCCCGTTAGGTACCCGGCGGCGGCACTCTTTTCGCCTCGCCGATTTACACGCGGTTATTATATTGGTTTTTTTTGTATACACACGGGGTTAAATATTCTTTTAACGATTTCTCGACTGAAGTAGCCGTACGTCTCGGGTCCGGATTATAATAACTACACAATAAACGACAGCCCGTGTTCGGCGGCGGCGGCGATAGATCGAAATATTTTCGGAAAAAAACGTCTCCGGGTCGCTGTCAATCAGGGCCAGGGGCCCGGCGATTTCACTACTATTCGTATAGATACAATAAAACCGGTGCATCCGAGTTCCGTTCCGAATATAAAATTTGAATTTAAGGATATACTAGTTCCATCTCGCGTTATTTATTTAGTCATACGAGTTCTGTCCCGTTTTGTATTTTCTACACTGTGTTAATATAGTCGCAACAAGTTACGACTACTGTAACAATTTCATATTATTTAGAATTAAAGACAATATTGCTATCAGTTATCGCACTAAATAATTGAATTTGTATATATTAATGCTGAAATAATATTTTAATTTTTTCTGTATTTTAACATTGATTAAAAAAAAAATGTATATACAAATTATTATTTTTTTATGTCACATAAATTTAATCAGACAAAACATTTGTATTTATAAAAGTATAAACTACGTATGAATTTTTTACATTTAACATTGATAAGAACATTTTTAATCAAGACGAAATTGGTACATACCGTTTTTTCACACGAGCCGGAATTAGTATAAAAAAAGGTTATTGGGACGGACCTAGGATGCAGCCAATAAAACTCGCCGAGTCAACGAGCAAAAGAAAAAGATGAAACAAATATTTTTTCAATTGAAATTATTGAACGGAGCACGATATGCGCAATTTTAGGCCCCGAAATTTGTCCTCCTCCGAGCTCTGAAAATCGGTAACACGGTATCCCTGCCACCAGCATACATAAGGATCATTTTTTAGAATCCGAAATAATAAGAAAAACTGGTTTTTTTTGGTTAAAAAGATTAAAAATAAAGTTATTATTGGCAACCTTTTTTTTTTTTTTGTTAACAAGTTTTTGTTATTTCAATATTTTAATCTTTTTTAGACAATCGTTGTTGTCGTAAAAACGAGCATTGTTGAAAAAGCATCACTATCAACCGAACTCTGCTCAGAATAGTTTTTCGTTAGTAATGGTTTATCGTTGCGTACACATAAAAGTTAAATTTCCATCTATATTCTACCTTACCAATTTCTTACCTACAACAATAGCTCACCCTTCGTGTGAACTATATCCGTCCTTTTTAAACTGAATTTATAAAAAAAACCACGATTAGGGCTCTCAAAAAGTTGTCTACCAGAAATATAAGTTCGATGTTTAATTGTAGTATCTTGTTCAACCGAAATTTGATATTTTGTAACATTATTGCGATATTATAATAGGTAAAAAAAAAAAAAACTAAAACTTTATTCCGCATATAAACTGTATTTCAAACACGTCGTTTTCATGGTTTGAATTTTAAAACAATGACAAAACTACGAATATAATTTAGAAGAATTATATGGGCTACTCGTCAAATAATTATCATGATATTAAATTATTATAATGTAGGCACTTAAAAGTTATACATTTTAGAATATGGAAATAAAACGGTTTTTAGTTAAGATTTTAATGTATTATATAGGTACCTGATACATATTAAACCAAGTTCATATTATTATTATATGCATACGAGAAAAGGAAAATAATACTATAATATTATTCATTGTAATTTAAGTGGATAAGCACTTCGTAAACAAAAAAAAAAAATTGTACAAAAATAATCGTAGAGATGACATGCAATTTTCACAGAATAGTTATATTAAATTTTTCTAGACTTGGTAAAACATTCTAGCATTATATAAGCTATTCATAGGAATTTCACATTTTCGTGTTTTTGTTTAATGTGTATAAAATTGTTTTGCCGAACAGAAATGCTTGAAAATGTTGAAAGTAATGTAGTAATTTTTTTTAAAACGCATTTCAAGACCAAATTTTGACAAAAATCATAAAAATTACTGCATTAAAAAATACGTACCTATAACCAAACTTCACTAAGCATCGTTTTTCGTTAACAATGGTTTATTATACATACATACATTTTTTTTTTTATTAATATTTTTAGTTTAAACAAAAATCATTAAATATGATATAATAACGCATTATACACATCCAAAATCAAAATTATGTACCATAAAAACAGATAATATCTAATTTAAAAATTGTTAATGATAACATTTTCATTCAGATAAATAATAGATACTGACGATTACGAAAAATATAATATTTTAAATCTATATGAATTAATTATAAACTAAATAAATAAATAAATTTTGAAATGCATATTATAAATTGCATTAAGGGTTAAGCTTGTTTTTCGCAATTTAAAATTTACCAAAGTGTATAAAGTATAATATTTTATATTATATGCCCAAAACCAAGTATAAAAACAATAATAAAAATAATAATAACGATAAATGTAGAGTTCGACAGATGGCAGTGAAGTGTGTAAAGAGTGTGTTACCTAATGCAGCGAGGGTGAAAAATTATATGTGCTTTATTACGTGGTTATTAGTAATCTGACAAGTGGTTTTATGGTTATTCATAAAAGCGCATTCACCAACATTATTTATACCAGAAAAAATGAGTCCTTTCTAAACCACAGGACATAGTATTATGAACGAAAAGGCTTATACAGTAAACTTATAACTTAGGCACCTATATATATATATCAAATAAACTCGGTATAATTCAAATGATTTTAAGCTCGTCATCAGATCGCATATGCCATGTTACTATCGTAGTATACAGGAAAAAAATTCGGGAGATACTTCATAAATTTAAACAAATCAAATATTTTAAACTATATAACTAGTAGATATATGACGTTTTAGAAGTACATTTTTCGAATTTCCGAGAGGGGTTAAAACCTCTAACTCCCCTGTATACGTGCCTGCCAGTATCATATAGTAAGTGTATAGATATGGGTAATTTTATTTTTTTTTGAAATTCCAACTTGTATTACACTAACTATATGATTATAATTATCACTTTGTGCCTTTTATTAACTATGCAAAAGTTGAATAAATCTATAAATTATATATTATATAAAATTATATTATTATGAGTTTATGACCAATAATAATGACTCGAGTTTTTATGATTTGTTAGTTCGTTAAGTATAAAAATTGAAACATGTACATTACCTTACATTATTAGAAGGGGTATATGATTTCAAATCGAGAATTTTATTCAAGTCGACTCTGAAAATATAATGATACAATATTATTTTACCTTTTATAAATTAATAGTCAATGGATATATTATACCAGAGGTTCCTAAAGTGATCTATATAGACCCCTCAAGATCTATTCTAATCTGTAAGGGGTCCGCGTTATATATATATAAAAAAAATGGGACTCCATGAGATGTGAACAAGGGCAACAAATAATATTAGGAGGTGGAGGGTCTATGAAAACAGACAAAAATGCAAGTAGTCTACGGGGGAAAAAATGTTGGGAACCTCTGTATTATAAGTCAATAACTGTAGTAATAAATTAATACATATTACTTGCTATTTGTTGTCTCGATGATTTCAGCACTTCCATTAATAGATCTGAAAATAAATAAATATAATCATATTAAATTCGCAAAGTTGAGTGTTTTATAAATAATATTTTAAACAATGAATGAAAATTTAAAGTTAATAATAATTATAAAAAAAAACCGCCGACATACTCTGGTCCATGGGTAACAAAAGCCACTGTTGTAAGTGGGACGTAAAGAATATAGGATGTAGGGTTATTTCGTTTATAATATAATGAAATCAACGATAAATCATGACAATAAAAAACGATTATGAGTGAAATTCGGTAAATTGGTCAAATTATGGTTTTGTTCGTGTTTTCCCTTTTGCTGCCAAAATATCTGCAGAAATAACAAAATAAACAAATACCAATGTATCGCCATTTGTTTTTGGGTTTTCAATTAATTTTGTTTAAATTGTTTAGAATCGAAAAATTATTTTTAAAATACTATTGCCATCAGAAAAATCCGCATATTTTAAGTTACGATGTGGATAATTTAGATCATTTTTACTTACTAAAAAAGTGACTCGGAATCTAATTTTTAATAGTATAAAATATACATAAATATAATTACCTGATTTTAGTTTTTAGCATGTCCAACGTTTGTCTATCGACCAAGTCGATTTTGTTGACGAGAATAATATCGGCCAACGCGACTTGTCTGAAATTAAATTACTTATTATCTCGTTATATCATACGCATAATAAATATAAATACATCAACATAAGTTGTTTAGATATATTCCACTAAATATAAAATCGGAAGAGGGACCGAGGGTTGATTGTTTGCAGATTTGATTATATTATATACCGAGAGACGGATCTCCGTTTCTATGACGTTGATTCGATTTGGACATAATATTATTGCCCCGTCGTTTTTGCATATTATAATAAACTCAACCGAGCATATAACCAGTATTCGTAATCTATTTATGATTACCATCAGAATAATGAGTTTATCTGTTTTTCAGCAATTACAAAACGCATACAATTAAAATAGTATACAACAAAAAAAAAAACCTAAAAACTTTAACAATCCTTCAGATAAATAATATTGACTTGTACTAAATGCATAAATTTTTGATTTGTCTCAATAAAATATTATCACAATTCTCGTGGGTATTTTTATTTATTTGTTTACACAGATTCCAAAAATAATTTATTTATGTACCTATAATAATATATTCTCAAGTTAAGTAGGTATTTATTATCATCATCAATTTATTAAAGGCTAAGACTTGTTGAAGCCACTCTTATCAGCTTAATACCACTCTATTCAATGAAACAAAAAACACACAGTTCATGAGTTCTTGGATATGTTCAACATATTGTTTTCTTGGGCGTCCTCTTGATTTCTACCCAGTAACCCTTCCATCAAAGACTTTGGTTATAAAATCGTTACACCGGATGATGTGTTCAATTAGCTTTCCTGTCCTTGATTCAATCGTCTAAATGAGCCAGGTTTTTTCTCCCACTTTTTCTAATACTCGCTCATTTGTTTTCTTATCTGTAATTTTCCTTCACATTCGTACATCTCTGCTGCCTCCAATTTGTCTATGTCTTAAGGTATCTACAGCTGATTAAATAAACACAATGATTGTATTTATTTTACCTCCCAGTGAGTATGTATGTATATTGCGTACAAATTGAGTAAACTGTATCTTTCTAATTCATTAATAATAATTGGTAAAATATTCAAAAAATCAGAATTGCAAACCTTCGATTTTGGAACATAGATTTGAAATTTTAGTTCAGAAGCATTTATTTGATCGTTAAAATTTGACTTTAACCTAACTAAAATTTGTTCAGGTATATTTTCCGATTGTTTTTGTATTTTATTGGATTTATACGATTGTATTACATCGACATTTTAAAACAAGACAACTCCTAAATTTCCTATTGAATATTATTATTACATCGGAGATGTTATCTGTGATTTAAGCATAAATATAATATTATAAAGAATATTTTATTCGTTAAATTATATCGTCAAAACTTGAGGTTTCGGAAAAGGAGGAGTTATCCGGTGAAAATATTGAACCGCAATAATATTATAATACGTGCAGTATAGGTATATGTACTGTTATAGATTTCCTTTTTCCCATCATACATATATAACGGGTTTTATATCTCGGCGGTAAGGGTTAACGGGAGTTTTCCAAAGTGGGGACGCAATAAATATTTACAAATATATAATAACGTAAATACTACCGAAAACGTAATCTTAAATATATAGGGATTTAGATTTGAACAGAGGATACGCGTTCCGATCCCCCTGTCTGCGCCATATCTATATAGTATATCAATGCATTATTGTGCGTTACCTACGTACGTATCGTACGTTATTATTATATTATTATGTAAAACTGGAATGGAAATTTCGTCACGTTATACCCAACTACACGTATATAACATAATGAGTAAGTTTGAAAACAGTATAAAGTTTTCATTTCAAAAGTATCCGGCGCAGTGTTCTTATTTTATAGGTTCGTCTTTTAATAATATATTATTATTATATATATGCATGTATACGTGTGTATGTGTGTGTATGTGTGTGCGAAATATTTGCGTATACGTTCCATTACAGCGGGAAAACGCATTTCAACGGAAACACGTTATTAAAACGATAACAACGGGGTGTATTTTATATTGCCATTGACGATGATGATAATAATAATATAATAATACGAGTAAAGTAGTATACATATATGTGTATATATATTATACCCCGCGTCCTATTCAAAATGTTCATGCATACGAATACGATCAATGAACAATTTTAAAACGAAGGATATATAACGACCCCAAAAACATGACGTCGTCAGTGCGAAAATGTTAAACTCGTCGACGACATATTATTTTTCGTTAAGGTGACTCGGAATTCGCTATTGTCACAATGCACATGATGTATATATATCTAGGTAGATAGGGATATTTATAAAATACATGCAACATAATATAATATTATAAACTACGGTCCAATTTATATTATGTTATGTTGCGCACACAAAACCCAATAATCGTTGCCTTTGATCCGCCACGCGGAAACTTACATTCAACTCGTAAAAAGGCGAACGGATCTGATAAAAAAAATCAAAAAAAATAATAATAAACCGAATAGAAATGTGCTTACCTAAAAGCACTCTCTTTATGGTGAAATAGCAATATAATATACGTAGTGTATGTTGTTACCTACCTACCTATATTAAAATATTATATTATTGTCATACCGCATTATGTAAAGGTCTTTTTGCAGTATAATTTTATAAAGCTATGTAAAGAATTATTTTATTACACTGCAGCAGGTAGACTACAGCATGTTTCTCGATGTTAATATATTCGTTCTTTATGATTTGTTGCCGGAAGGTATATTTATACGGATGTATCCGAATTGGTTCCCGTTTGAAAAAGGTACACCTACTTTATGAAGGTGAGCCGTGAGCCAAATTGGTTTCCGTTTAATACCTACATTTATACGGTAAACACAATAAATGTAGGTATAATGTAGTACATTTTCAAACTTTTATTTAACTTTTATCATTTTATATGGTATGGGTATTTTATAGTTATCAAGAAAATAAAAATATCGGCATATTTCCAAAATAACACAATCAATTAAGATAACATCAATTCATCTGAATATCCTTATCTATATGGCTATATATACCGAACATAAAATACAGAAATATGTCTAGTATAAATCTAAGTAATTCTGAGTCGACAGTTCTAAGCTAATAAGAATAGGAAGGGAAATGTGTCTATTTGACTATCTTAACAGTGGGAACCAATTCGACCAGTAGTAGATGCATCACAAATTCGAACGGGAACCAATTTGGCCAAATGGGAACCGATTCGGAAAACTTTATATATAAACCATAATATTTATAAATATACAATACATAATATCTACAATTAAAAATAATTATAGAAAATAGATAACTTCTTTAAAATGAAATATAAATTCAAAATTGCCTCAAGTCTTACGATTTATTATAAATATCAACTAGGTACATACTTTATCTATTTAATGGATCGTTAATTTTATTGAACCTTTGGACGCCAAAGATCAACAAAAATATACAAGATTTATTTACTCATGAAATTAATTTAGTTAAAGTTTATTGTTTTAACAATCTCATTTCTTTTTAGGCAACTTAAACAAAATTAAACCAATAATAAAAGTTGGCATTGTGTTTATCCTATAGGTATTAAATGAAGTGTTTTTTTAAAATTATTTTAATTATGATTCTTTTAATCAATTAATTAATAGTAACTTATAATCACAAGAGAAATTCATTATTAAATAAAATAACAGATAAACTAACCTTGTTGATGGGTTTATTGTATCCGAGTTAGATTCATCCAACAAAGTGCCACCGAGATACTGTAAAACAAAATTTACATGTTAAAGTATTATCAGAACATACAAAATTAAACCTTAGACAAAGCGGCACAGATAAGTTCGACCATGAAAACTAAATTGGAATTCTTCTGTATTCTCATTATGTAAACTATGCGGACAAGGCTCAAAAACAATGGAGAATTCTAAATGGGATTTGCATTTATACAAAAATAAAATAAAATTATAATAATAATAAAAAAGTAAAAGTAATAATGAAAAAGTAAAAAAACCTCGAAAATATTAAAACTAGATTGGAATTTCAATAAATAAATAAAACTAATCATTAAATTAAAATAGAAATTCATAACACAGGGTCATTCTTTTATTACAAAGATTTTGAATCATTTTGAATTAGAATTTGCTTCAGACATTATCAGAGTTTAATGATCTTTTTATAATATTTTACTATCCAATATAAGTTATCGTACTAAAGCTATATGTACTAACATTTGATTGTGATTTTTAGATACTGAAAGGGACTTACTTTGCATTGTACAGACTACTGTTGTAGATGTTAAGTTGAGAAGGTTAATGATATATCATAATTATTGCAAACAAACAACTGGTTTAGCTGATTACTTATTTTTACCATGTAACCAAGAGAATCCAGAAATTAGCAAATCAAAATACAAAAGTCCAAAATTCAGATGAGAGTCAAAAATATAGAAATTTAAATTTTAAAAGCTGTCTTAGGATAATGGGGATAATTGCAGTCACTATTGTAGGTGAGAAGTTGAAAAAGTAGGATACAGAAGGGAATTTAATGTATATCTGTAAGCAACAATAAACTATTGCTAACGAAATAATGATTTTTAGCGGAGTTCAGTGATACTTTGTCAACAATATATATATATATATATATCAAATTAAGGTAACATAATTAAGTAAGCATATATTTTCTTTAATAATATTTGTTTAAGATAGGACTGATTTTCTCATTTTTTCTACGTTTTTTCCGGTTTTATACACTTGCTAGGAAAACTGGGAAAATTGAAAAATTACATTTCTTAAGTAACTCCCCAAGAAAATTTACTTTCAGAAAAGAATCTACATTGTAAACATCGGATTAAGCTTTCTAGTAGAAAGTATCACATAAAAATAAAAATAAAAAATAAACATCTTTGTAAAACCAATACATTCTCTGTTACACTCAGAATCAAAATCCTTATATCTGAACAATTGAAACGAAACACTGCATTTTAACACAAGAAATGTTTATACCAGTAATTTAATACTAAAAATTCAAAAAATAAATCCACCAAATAATAAATTGCATGCATTTTATTACCTATAATCAGGGTTTGATATAATAAAAGATAAATTCTGTATCTTTGATACATTTTTTATTTTATGTCTTAAAACATTTTTTTTTTTTTCATTTAAAAAGTAAGGGTAAGGGTAAATTACATGTATATAATTTAATTTTAATTAACTATTAATTCATCAATTCTCAAAAGAGAAAAACTCAGTATAAAGGACACAGGTGGTGAGAAGAATAACAAATTCCAACATGACTTCACCCTATATGAATTGAATAAACGTTTAAAAGAGATGAAGAATGGAAAACCACATGTCATGTATAAAAACCAAAAATGGATATTAAAGTTTCCTAACTAATACTATCATAGATAGACCAAGTCTGGAGAAAATCAAAAATAGTAGCACTATCAAAACCCAAGAAAGATCTCAATGATTTAGAAAAATACTCCTCTGGGGAGTAGATATGCCCAGTGTAGAACCATTCCAAACACATTAATTATGTTAATATTGCACTTAACTACACACAAAGATTTATAACAGGATGCCTAATACCAGCAACAATAAAAAATGTCAACCCACTAGTTATAATAGTACCACCAGAAATAAGAAGATATGCAACAATGTGTATAGGAAGTAGGAAACAAGCAACTGATTATAAACATCCGATGAATGGTTTTACAGAAGCCCTAACCAGACCCAAGTCAAGGAAAAACTATATGAAAACAACAACAGATACGTATAATAATTCAAAACAAATCTGAATACAAATCTGGAAAGAAATACTGCAAGCTGAAACGTCAGTTCCCCCAGCAGAACACTTACCACCTATAAAAAATTAATCATAGCCCTTATAAAAAAACACTAAACAAACTGAGAGCAGAGATAGTCAAAACCAGGGCCTACATGGTCAGATGGGGTTTGGTGAAGAAGATGTGTTTTATGACTGTGATGAAAGCAAAATTGATAACCACCTACTACAGTGCAGAATGGCTCCAGTGGAATGGAAAAAAAACGATTTAGCTTTAGTCAATGATCAAGCAATAGATATAGCATTGTAGCAACCTACTTGCTCACACACAAGATTTGACCATTATATAATCATGTGTTTGTTATCTAATATTTAACTGATATCCATTTTCATTGTATATCTCTCTATTTGTTTTTAATTTTTGATAGTCTATACTTATATCTATAGTGTACACGATACTTATTAACAATATCACCAAGCACAGGACATGAAACGAAGAATTAATTAATAATATAAGTAATTATACATGTAATAATAATAATAATAACTATTTATTTACAATATATCAGTATGATGGAGTTTTAGATTCTAATCACAACAAAGAATGTATTAATGTGACCTATACTCTACTCTAATCTAGTATATCCAAATAAATATTCGAAAATCTAATACAAGCTTCATCATAAATAGTTCATACTGATCAAAAAGAAAATATTGTTTTGTTAAACCACACATTTTTTTTGATGAAAATTGGAAATTCAAATTTTGATAACAAATTGTTATGTCGATCCTTTTTAACATTGTATTGACCCTAGTCTGACTAAAGCTTTTTTCAATCATTTTTATCATAAAGGTTTTATTTATACTTTATATTTGATTAGACAAGTTAAGATATTTTTAAACAAAAATTAAATCTATGAAAACTTTTTTTTTTTAGGTGAATGATTAAAACAGCAAGCACTGAAATACCTTACTTTATTTGCATTTTTGCTATCGATGACACAAACAATTCCTGAAAATATATAAATAACACAATATTATTATCTTTTAATGGTATAAAAAAATGTTTTGTTTTTAATTTAAAAATATGAAATTTAAATCTATTTTAGTCATTAATAAAATGTCAACAAGAATTTTGATTTATTGATTCTGTTATTGTAATCAATTTCAATTTATTTCTTAAACATAATTTGAAAAAATTTAAAATTTTGTTTTACTAGATATGTTTTTAAAACAATTTCCAATCATATAATATTATATATTTGAAATTTATAATACTTTAATACTTTAACCAAACTGATTGATAAATTAAGGTTTGAAACTTTTGAGGTTTTCCAGTTTTTTTTCTTGCAAATTTTAAATTACTAGTTAGACAAGATAGTATAGAAAAAATCTAAATTACAATCAATATCATTGATAAAAATACAAGTTGTCATTAGGGTACCGTTGTTGTAGGAGTTGCATATTTATATATTTACATATGAGCTCTATTGCTCTCGATTCATAACAAACTAAGCTTTTGTGGTATACAATACAGATTAAAAATCAAACATTTAGAATGCATATTTTGTAAATTTTCTGGAAAAAGTATATATTTTATTAACTTTCACAGACATAATACACAAATGTAATATTTTCTAAAACTTTCTGAGCAAGGTTAGGAATGAATTGACTTTATAATAATGTTTATTTTTTTTTTTTGTGAACAACTTTTCTACCAGAAATTTTGCTCAAATTTTCAATTGTAGCATCTTTTCTTAAAGGAAATTGACAGGGAGGTTTTAATTCCCCCAGGAGTTTTCATTATAAATGGAAAAATCTAGGAAAACCGGAAAAATTTACAAAATATATTATTTTTAAATCGTTAATATTACGGCCTTTCAATATATGTATAACCAAACTACTCAAAATCATTTTTCAATAGCAATGATTAATCTCTGCATGCAGATGTACATTAAATTTTTCCTCTACCTTTCAAACTTCTTACCTACAACAGTGGCCCATCGTGCTAAGTATTTTTAAATATATATTATATTTTGCTTATTCTACAACATTAAATGTTTTTTAAAAAAAAATGTTGAATCATTTATTTAAGTTTAATATTTTAGATTTTTTTTTGTGAATATTTTATTAAATTTAAGCTTCTAGTGCTGTAATAATCATATTTTCCGATGAAGTTATTAATGTGATGATTAAATCAATTATAAAAAATATACTGATATAGTTGGGTAATATTTATAATTATTTTATTTCACAATATAGATATTGTAAAACAGTTGAACCAAACCAATTTCTTTTAGCCATACTATTTATATGTGTTATCAAATATGGTTAATAACAAGTAAAATCTTAACAACAAATATATTATATTCAATTTTATATTTTAGGATAGCTTAGTATTTAAAAATAATTATTTTACTTAAAAGGATGCTACACCCGCATTTAATATCTTAAAAAAATTCAACACATTTGTGCCGTTAATTTTAATATTAAAGTGAATTGACCTGTTACCAAACTTAGAAGTAAGAAAATTATCTGTTCCCTAGCGCTAATGTTTTTGCAATATTTTTATTTTTAAGCAAGACATAAACATATTTGAATTTTGTTATTTCATGTATTGAATGTTTTCAAGACAAAGATAATAAATGCAGGTGTATTATCTCTTAATACTAAAATCTATTGCATTTACAATAGAATTTATTAAAATGTAAATAAATATAGTCATTATTCACCATCTAAATGAACATCACTTCCCAGCTCTGTATCAATCCAAAATAATTTTGCAATAGGCCCTAAAATTATAAAATTATTTTTATAATGTACATATTTATTGGATATGGTTTATATATTACCGGGGTCAGCCAATCCTGTAGTTTCCAACAATATATAATCAAATTTTCCTCGTTTGGACATAAGGTTTTCAATTGCTTTAACACCGTTGTCTTTGACCGAACAACATAAACACCCATTTTGTAATTCAAGCCATTCTTCACAGAGGTTTCCTTTCTCACCGATAGCTACAGACTTTTCCATTGTGTCACCTGCAAACAAGTAATAATGAGAAAATTATCGAAGAAACAGTTTATTTATATGATACTGATATTTAAAATAAAAGCTAATTTTATATGTTCAGTTTGAATAGTATAAATGTTGCACTTACATTAAGGTCTAATAAAAAATAACAAATTGTTGTACTAACCTTCGCCAAATTCATTCAAAATTACAGCAATTTTTTTACTGTGTTGTTCTGTCAGTATATAATTTAAAAGTGTCGTCTTACCACATCCCAAGTAACCAGTTATAATAGTTACGGGCACTGGATCCAACGTTGTTGCCGTAACCAACAATGGAATTTCATCGTCAGAATCCATCCCAACGTTATTTATTAACAGACCAACGCTGATTGAAATAAAAAATCAGAACAATAATGTGAATGTGAAACTAAATATGACAGCAACAAGTTTTAGAACACAAATAAAGTTGCATTAAAAATAAGAAAAATATTCTCTACAACAGGTAATGAAATTCAAAGCCAATTCGAACGGTTATCAGTTTTTCAGTAGAAATATAATTATCTATAACCATAGAATAGGGATAGTCGTTCGAAATGATAAGAAAAATAATGATAAGGATAAATGATAGCGTTCCGAAAGCATATTTCTATACCAGTATATGTACGAGTTCATGGTTCATGTCCTATACTTTTATACTTAATACCACGATTAAAGATATATCTTTACTCGTTCTGAATAGGTACCTAACCTTAAATTTGTTTCTAGTATTTGAATACTAAATACTACAATATTTAATTGTAATACTACAAAGGTTAGGTATAAAATGTCGTGCGCGTTAATTTAAAATAATGAAATCGTGAAGTCGTACGGTTTTTATTTTCACTTAAGTGCAATTATCTCTAATAAACATCATTGTAAAACCAATATACATTTCTCACTACACTCGGAATCTAAATTGTAAAAAGGTCTGTGTAGGAGATTACACAATCTATTTTTGGCAGGTAAAAAGGGACTATGTAGTAGTTTACACCATATTTTAAATACCGGTAAAAATATCATTTTCGTAGGACACATCTAAAACACATATGTTTTCACACATATTTTTTTATAAATGTAAAATTATGTAGATATTCTCTCATCTTATCATGTGTCCAAAATATCGCAACTTTCCTGTTTTGATTATTCTCATTACTTCCTAATCCTTCTCCATTCCTATCAGTACTACCAAATTGTAACTCGATCTACCCACGATATATTTATGATTTTTCTATAGCATCTTATTAGTTACATAGTATAATTTATATACATTTTTTTTTCACACATAATTTAGTGATTTGTCTGAAAAATAGAATTTCTGGCATACGGGTGTAATTTTAACATAGATTATCTCTGTAATTGAACAATAATAAACGTATATGGTTAACTTTATGGTTTCGATATAGAATATAAGCAAAAATGGTTTAATATATTTTTTTAAACAGTGATAATATCACGCAATGGCCTCTGACGATCGTTTTGTGTACATACATTTGTTATAGTTTAACGGATAGAGAGCGCCGTCAATTACAAGCATTTTAAAAACTGTCTATCGATACATAATAATAATCGAAATGGCACCTTAAAGAAAAGAAATAATCTAGTTAGTAAGACATATACGTTGCAGTTCAGTCTAATTCTTCGAAAGGGTCATGTCACATGCGACTTTTTCGTTCTCAATTAGTTTCAACGGGCGTAATGGGCGAAATACGAGACTAAACACGACAGGTTTCATTTCCCAAATTAGGTTGTATCACTTGCACAGTTGTACTTGTATCGGGTGTATACTCGTATTTTATTATATAGTACTAACTAACTAGTTTTATGTCTATTATATTATGCCATGTCAAACACATAAATCACAAAAAAAAAAAATAATAATAATAATAATGATTAGTTTATCAATAAAATAATTATCGTTAGTAAAAACCACGATTTTTAATGTTTTACTAAATTTTTTTTCTTGTATAATTTATAATATTATAATATCCTGTATTTATGTACAATAGAAAATTTCACTTTAAACTGCAGTAAAATAGGTATAAAAAAAGCATTTACCAGAATCAGAGACTGTGGTTGGTATAGAGTGACGCTTAAAGCCATTTCTGACGGGTTATTTGGGGTCCAATTTCAACCCCCCCAAAAGTATTGTTTAATATTTTCAAGAATAATGCTTATTATATTTATAACAAAAATAATAGATGGTTTAATTTAAAAGTCTTGACTAAAATTTGGTACAGACTCGGTGAAACAAACTGCATTTAATTTCGATTCACAGGAGGTATAAATTCCGCTACAAGTAATAAACGCAATAAATATTACCAACCAAATGTGTTTTGGTGTAGTTTTTGTTAGTTATTGCGATTTATATCAATAGTGTTTAAATACTTAATTAAAACACTAAAACAAAAACGTGAGTTACGGTATTTTAAAATCGATATTCGATGTAATAAATTACGTTTCTACTGATGTTTTGCCTTATAACCTAATAAAATACGCAGAGTTTTAAAATTAACAGCACCACATTCAGTGGCGTGGCGTGATATAGTCAGTGGTGTTAAGCAATTACCAAAAAATATATACCTACGTATACCTCCATTTACTTTTACTACCTCTAGAGAATCGGTCACGATTTATTTAATACAAATATTATCAATAATGATTTAAATGATTGACCTTAGTTCCTAAATAAACAATATTGAGTGATAATATTATTTTGAACGGTTTGAAGCCAATAAGCGAAGATGACTGATGAGACTTCTAGTATGGCAGTTTCGTATGTGATCGTACCAACGCTGATACAGTATAGTAAATAGCATCGTGCTATTTATATCAATATATTGATTGTCGTGTAACACATTTTGAAAGTTGCTTTTATGGCATCTCCTTATACTGTTCCAAAATTTAATATATAATTTTACTTTATTAGAACTTGATCATGGCTTAAATTGTTCATTTAAAAAAATGCCTATGCAATTTTATAACTGAAAGTGTAAACAACGCTGCTTATGTGTACGTGTAATCTCATTTTTAACAATTCAATAGTTACTGCGCTTGTAACTACAAAAATAGAACATTATAGTATTATACATGGTTTCCCGCGATGGTGTGATATTTAAGTAAGATTTAAATCACTTTTGTTTTATTGAATATTTTTAATTTATATTATATTTTTTTTTTTAAATAAATAGTATTCCTCTGCACTACAGTTAATGTATTTAAAAAAAATAATGTACTAAGTAGGAAAACTTAAAATAAATTATTTAAAATTTTATTATAGTTTTTGCAAATATGAATATTATTGCGTGGTTTATAATCAATAACAGTATTTAATCAGTTGTCAGTATTATTAGTATTGTTGTATGATATTACCACATGGAAACGAAAAACCTTGCCATTTGATGTACCTTGAATACTGAATATTATTATAATAGTATTACAATATTATAAACTACAATAATATTCATATTTGCAAAAACTTCAAAAAAATTTAGAAAATAAAAGACCATATATATTTAAACAAAAGTTTAAACTATTAAAAGTTTTCTAAAAATATAAATTACAAAATGTCTATTTTGAAATTTTTTTAAAAAACCTAGTAAAATTTTAAAATTTTAATTTTATGTTCCTTATCTAATTTTTTTTTTTTTAATATATTAACTGTGGCACAGAAGTATACTAATTATTAAAAACAAAATATATATTAAAATTATCGAATAGAAAAATATTTATTTCAAGTGTCAGATCTTCGTGGGACACCCTGTACAATACACGGAGTCAGTTATGTTAATCTGTCGACCTAACTCAATGAAAATTATCGTATTCAGTGACGGCCATCGGAATGATATATTTCGAGTTCCGACAGTATCTATAAATGATCAGATACCGTTTTATTAGGACTTATATACACACAAGACCTCATAAGGACTTACACACATAGTTCTAGGGTGATCGAGATCACCCCGGAATGATGACTGTCATCATTTATTAATAATAAACCGTCAATATATTGCCAATAGTTAAATTGAAGGTTCAGGGAGTATAGGAGTTTTAGGAGATTAGTATAATTTTTTTTTTTTTTTTGAACTTCCCCTTTCTATAATTATTTATATTGGGATGGAGGAACGGTATATATATCTCTTTTGGTATAAAGCACGAAGGAAAAAAAAAATAGTATTCAGACGTCTATTGGGTACCTAACGAGGTACGCCATATGGAAAATTAGTCGACCGCATCTATTTGTTTTGCAAAAACATTTTTGATAACGAAATACAAACAAATTCGACAGCTGTAACGATAACGCAGAGACGTACTAACGTCTAGTATGTACAGTAGGCCGGCAAAAATGTGAAGAGTGAAAAGTTATAATCTAATCTACTGATTTGTCATAATCTCGTAAATTCCATCAAGTATCATATTATGTCGTCGTTCCTTATCTAAATCTTTAAAATAAACGGTTGTAATGAACTAATGCGGGTTAAGTAGAATTTGAAATGTATACGACTGATATGATTTTATAAATACACCATTGATATAGTTTACAAGTTAGAAGTTATGTTATAGTCAATATTTTAAAAGCACACGGTGGACCATTCAGACACTCAAAATATAATTGCAAATGTTGTAGACAAAAAAAAATGTAACACGAAAAAACCACTTGTAACAATATGTAAATAGTTTACATATTTTCTTTTTTGTTAATAATGTAAAATAAAACTAGTAATAAAATAGTCAAAAACTTAAAAATAATCTAAACTTCACTAATGCTCGCCATTGATACTGTTTATAAAATAAATATAATACTATATAATAAGTACAATACTTATTCAGAATATTCAAATCAGTGTTTACATGTGATAATAATTCTATTGATCTTTTTTTTTTTTTTTGTAAAAGTAATAAATTACCCTTTAAATAAAATAAGTAAAACAGTTATTACTATATTACATTTATTGTAGTTCTTAAAATGCCTAACTACTGTTGGTCTACATGCAATAAGCCTGAAAAACAGTAGGCCGTTTGGAAAAATAATAAGTAGTTCGCAAACGGGCTATCCCATTGGAAAGAGCCCAGTCTTTTCGCAAAAAAACTAATTTTCCACATGGCCTATGACATATACATTGTAACGATTCACCGATACCTGTACCCCTTATATCCGGCGCTTGATATTTTTAGCAACGAACTTCTTGCGAACCTCAAGCAGAAATATAAGGTAAGTGCGATTTTTACATATTTCCGTAGTAGAATATTAATACGAGTAAAATAGACAGAAAATAACTTCTTACGATAGGCAATAGCCATCGTCCTCAAACATAATAAGTACTTGTTTTTATCGGCACAATATAGGAATACGTGCATACACTACAATACAATCCGAACGACCGCGCGCGCACACACACATACACACACACACACACAGAACCATTTACACACTATACCAATCTTGTCAAGACATTACACTGCGAGTCTATTCAAAGGCTCATCCGA